TGCCCCTAATCCTCCATGTAAGCAAAAGAGCTAAACAAGAGGTGCAGTTATGTCAGCCAACTGGATCCCACTGGTGAATATGAGCAACCAATGAGGATACTGGAGCAGCAAGGAGGTGGGCACAGTCCCCTTACCCACCTGCTTATCATTGTCTGAGCCTTTTTGGTGGAATTTGATTGGGTGAGCTTACTGCTGCTTTGATTTCGGGAAACAGATTCAAACAGAGATGGCTGCAGCTTCAGAGTTGCTCAGCAGATACCACTTTGCTTTTTACTACACACAAGCTGAGAAAAAAATCAACCTATGGCACTGTGGGACAAAATTGACAGGGTGAAGTAAGAAAAGTGTCAATGCCACTCTGCAAAAAACAAACAAACAAACAAAACCAAGATGATAGGACAGAAAATATGTCAGGGGATGGTCAGTGTTGCAGAACCTACCCAGAAGTCACCTCATCTAGATCTTTCTCAGACCTGGCAGCATCTATGTGGGTATGAACTGATATTGTTGGGGCCTGCTATTTGATACACATGACTTATTTGTTTGTTTATTGGTTACATTGATATCCCATCTTTCCTCCAATGAGCTGAAAGCAATATACAGTTGGCCCTTCGTATCTATGGGGGTTCTATTCTAGATCCTTCCATGGATGCTAAAACTGTGAGATCTCAAGTCTCATTGGTTTTAATGGGGGCACTGGCATGACCATGTGTACACACTGCCATTCAGGAACACGGGGGTGGGGTCATCTGCAGATACTCCAATCTGTGGATGGCAAGCCTGCAATTGTGGTGGGTACATAATTCTCCTCCACCCTGTTTTATCCATGGAACAACCCTGTGAGGTAGGTCAGGCTGAAAGATAGCACCTGGCTCATGCACATCATGGTTCAGTGGTGACTAGAACCTGTATCTCCTAAACCCTAGTCCAATACTGTACAACACACTGGCTCTCACACTGCTTATGTTTGTTGCTTAGTAGTTCTCTTTGCCTCAAAGACTCAATATGACAGCTACAGTGGAGAGGAGATCATAATGGGAGCCTTGTTCCCTCAGTGACATCTCACTTCTTACCTGACTGTAGGTTTAAGTCCATTTGGCAAGGTTGGAACTAATCTTATGGCTAAGATGGCTTTCACAGAGGGATAACCCCCTCTTTATTTCCTATTTGGTATCCATTCTGTCATATGACCACCATCTGAAGCCAACTTACACAACTTTTGTGGATTTGTTGTCATAATGGCTGGGTCATATGAGGCTGCTGTAGGCCAGTTGGCCACATGGCTGCTTTAGATCCCTGTAGGCGTGCAGGTAGTAGATACCATGGCTATGAAACACAGAGTTTTGGAGAGTTAATGAACAGGTGAATCTGCATTGTAATTCAGAATAACAGGAGCATAAGATTGGAACTTGTCCTGAATCACACTGTTTCTGGGGCCTCTACAGTTTTAAGGCACTACTAAAAGGTGTCATAGACAGAAGTGCCCATAAAAAGGTGAGAAAGAAAAGCAACAAAGGCAGTAAATTAAACTAGTTTTCATAAATTTGCCTCATTTTTTAAAAATTCATAGCACTTTCATAGATGTATTATGGAGTTGGTGTAGAAGCCTCTGTTTTTATAACCTAAAACAAATTACATGAAAACAATATGTTTCACCTCTGCTATAACCTTTTTACAGAGTGGTTCATAATTGATTATGTAGACACAGGAGTTACACAACCAAGCCATCATACTCAGTTGTGTTAGATGTAATGAGAAAACATGGGAGACCTTATATGATTCAAATAATTGGCATAAAACCTTACAAGACCTTGAAATATGCCTAGCTAATGTTCAAGGAGTGTCTGAAAAGTAAAAGTCTAACAGGATTTCATATTCTGTTTGTTATTCATGTCATGGTTGCCTGTATTCAAAATGGAATTTTCCAATTATATATGTGAGAGTTTCTACTCATGAAAAATCTTATCAATCAGTTGTTTGGGTTTTGCCCAGACAATGTCTATGCAATGATTGCTTAAACCCTCATAATTGGCTCTGCTGGCCAACACTGATGGGAGTCTCAATCCAACAATTGTCTGGAGGATCATACACTCCTCACCTTTAGCTTACAATGAAACCTCCTGCAAGGCATGTGTCCTGTTTATGTTCAGCTCCCAATAGATACTGTTTTTCAACCAGTCCTTCACATTGATCTGCCATTCAGAAGGATTGTGGCTTAGAAGATCAATGCCTGAAACACTTCAACTGTTTTCTGATATTTGATTTCAACTTAAATCCCACAAACTCTAACATCCATCTATCTATCCATTTACAGGTTGAGTCTCCCTTATCTGAAATTCTTGGGATAAGAAGTGTTTTGGATTTGGGTTGGGCTTTTTTTTTTTTTTTTTTTTGCATTTTGGAATATTTGCATAGCTGTAATAAGATGTCTTGGAGATGGAACCCAAGACTAACAATGAAATTGATTTATGTTTTGTATACACCTTGTACACATAACCTGAAG